TTTGGAAACTTATCTTCTAAAAGTTTACAAACTGATGTCATTACAAAACACATTTATACATAAATAAGTACATATACATATATATTTCTTAAGTTCTTTTTCTTGATTTTGATAAGTTATAAACGTTTTGGTACTTGGACATTTAGTTACGGGCTCTATATAATTGACAAATATACAATTTCCTTTCAAATGGCTTAAAATGGCTTGAGTGTGTAATCAAACGTTTTGCATGCATAATTTTTTCTAAATCATTACTTTTGCATTCATTGCTTTTGAAATCATCATTTCTTAATGCAAAACTGCAAAGTAAAAACATAATTAAAAAATCATTGGCATAAAAGCAGCTGTGCGTTGATTTTAACTAAAACTGTCATAAGTACTCAAATATTCTTTTTAAATGGTACATAATTTTTATTTATTTTTTCAGTTTAGTTTTTCTTTAAGAAAATGCACATTTTACTTCACATAAAATGCAGCAAGTCAATTATTATTGTCATTTAGTCATTTAGTAGTTTGTTTAGGTGTCAACGTTGTCAATCGCAAGTGTGTTTTGTTGTGTGTTTTTGTGGAGTAATGTGGTTTTAGGAATTTTTTAATTGAACTTTTTTTTATAATTAAAATTAAATTATTAATTAAAATTTAATTTCTCTTTGATTTTTAATTAAAAGGATTTAATTAAATTTAATTTTAATTTTAATTAACAACAGCAACATAATTTTAATTAATTTTTATACTAAAATAAAATTTAATTTAAAAAATGTATGATGTTTAAGTGCAATCAAATCAAATTTAATTAGTTTTTAAATTCAAGTGATTATTTTAAGTGACGCATATTTTTTGAACTTTTTAAAGTTATGTTGTTTTCTTATTTAAAAAGTTACAGTAGCTGAGGTTTTGTATACCAATCATGCAATTAAAAACAAAATTTTGCGATTACTTTGTAATTACTTTTTTGTAACCGTACAACATGTTGAGTGGTGCAGTATAATTTTATGTATTTTATTTTATTCATTTAATATTTTTTTTATTATTTTTATTTAATTAAAAAAATTATAATTAATTTTGGTTATTAAATTTTTATTTGCTATTGAGACAAGTCATTAATTAAAATTAACTAATTAATTCATAATTTAAAAACTTAAATGTAATTTTAAAATTTTAATTTAGAAAATTAATTAAATTTTCAATTTATAAATTGCTTTAATGAAAAATAAAAATTTAATTTAAAAATAAAATAATTTAATTAAATGTTAATAATTAAATGATTTAATTAATCAAAAAAATTATTTTTCAAATTTTTTTCTCCTTTTTGAAATTTTAAACCAAAAAAATTTTTTTTTTTTTTGGAAGAAATTTCGTTTTAAAATAATAAGAAATAATAAAAAAATGTATGTTTTGAAACTTTTTTAAAAAAATTCAAAAATAAAAATTTTTAATTAAAATTTTAATATCAAATTTCAAAAATTTTTTTAATTTTGAAGGATTCAAAAATAAATTGTTTAATCAACAGTTAATAATTAAATAAAAAAAAATTTATTATTTTAATTAATTAAAAAAGATGCACTAGTTTTCAAATATTTTTTTCCGACGATCTGAAATTTTATAGTTAGAAGATTTTTTATTGGAATAAATTTTAATTAAATTATTTATTTATTTAATTCATTTTCAAAAAAAAATTCTTTCTACGTTTTGAAATTTTTGAAAGATTTAAATATAAAAATTTTTAAAGAAAATAAAAAAAAAATAATTCAATTAATCAAAATATTTTAACGAAACATTTTTTATTTTAACAAATGCTAAGTAAAAAATATAATTTTTGAATAAAAATTTATTGTATTAAAATCAAATATTTTTATTAGTTAAAAAAATATAAAATATATTAACTAAATTAAAAAATTAATTAACAAATTATTTAATTATTAGCAACAATTCATTTATTCAATAATAAATGTTTTTAAGTGAAATTAAATTTAAAAATTAAGTTTTTTAATTATTTGAATAAATTTTGTTTTTCTAAATATTTTTTACTGCATCTTAAAATTTTTAAAAAATGTGAGTCTTTTTAATTGCTGAAATATTTTCCTTACAATTAGCAGAAAAAAACTTTTTTGTTGCAAAAAATTAAAGATAATATTTTTAAATTATGTTTTTATTTTATTAATCTTTATTTGTATAATTTATTGTTATTTTTATTTATATTATCATTTTGATATAAAAATATTTCAAATAATTTAATACCCAAAATTATAATTTTTTTTTTATTTTTAACGAGTTTAACATGTGCACGGTATACATTTTTTCAACTTAAATTTTTCCTTTCTAATTTCAGTTTTTGGTTTGAAAACACTTTTTACATTCGTCTACAATTTTGAAACCACAGAATCCAACAGTTTCTTCCTTTAAGGAGTTTGAATTTTGTAAATTATTTTTGAAAATATTTTTAAAATTATTTCTGAAAATTTTTGTAGTTTGTTTTTTTAATTTTTTTCAACTATATTTTTCGTCCCAGTTATTTTTTTTTTGTTTTGTTTTTTTTTTTTAAGTATGGTACATATGAATATTTTTCAACTATAATTTATAGGAAACTTTAGCCGTCTCTTCACTAATGTATTTAGTATTTGTCAAACATCAAGATAGTCTATCGTTGTTACTGACATAAAAACTAAGTAATTTTCACATATTTTAACAAAAGTGTGATACAAATATTTAAGAACTTTCTTTCTTTTAAAGTATGGTCAAAAACTGTCTACAATTACTTCCAAACATACATTTTTCGATGCATATTCGCACAACTCGCGCTCTAAAATTGCTCATAATCGAGTGCAACTCAATTTGCCACTCAATAATCACTTCCGAAGCACTCATAATATTGTGACTATGTGAATAGACTAAAAGCATTATGCATGTAAATACTTATGGGTCAATATTTTAACACAAATCTGTACTTATTTGCTACAAACAAACATTTATGCCATTTTAACAGCTAAGTAATCGAAAACGCTTCGTCTCCATTCATGTAGTTGTGAGATGCTGAGGACCTAAAACTACAACTAAAGTACTAAACTAAAATTAAGTATAGTAAATAAATGAATTATTTTAAAATATACATAATACAGCGTAGAAGATTTGCAGTGTCTGCCGAATGGACTTCGAAGCTTTTTCTGTTTTTCTTTTTGTTTTTTGGTATATAGGCTTACGTTTCGTAAGAGATTCTCCAGGAATCATTTCAAATCATTGTCTTAAGTATGTGTATGTATTAGGTATTTGTGATGCGAATTGATGGGTTCTAAGTCTATAGGTGTGTATGTGTGTGTGTGTGGTGTGCGTGATGTACATATGTTGAGTTTAGAAACCAGGTTTGGTATTATCATCAATACCGCTGCTGCTGCCTGTATCCGACGGTATGGGACTAGCAGTGGCGCTGCGGTCGTAGTCGGAGCTAATGCTCTGATTGGAAGTAATTATTTCCTATAAACGGCAAATGGTAAATATTTCAATCAAACAACGGTATATATAAAACGAGAACTTACATAAAACGAAGAGCTTAATTCGAAACTAAAACAACAATAAAACAGTTCTGAAACTTATGCTAAGAACACAGTGGATCGGAGTGGCGATTGGATTCGAAAATTAAAGGAATGAAGAAGAGTAGTGAATTCACCAAGGGCTTCCATACAAGGTGAAGCCATATTTTACAAGAGAACTTACGTGATCTTTAGGTAAAGTAAGAAGAGAAAACGATACCTTCGACGAAAACGAAGATATAATGCCATTCACAGGTGCAATGAACCATAAAGGGATATAAATGGCAGCCATATGCTATAATGGTCCGATTTCAATAATATTTTGAGAGATTGAGCTATGCCTAAGATAATAATCTATACAAAATTTCGTAAAGATTGCTTGTTAAATATAAAAGCTTTTCATACATCGACTTAAGTGGGATCGGTAACAACAGATGTTAACACTTACCGATCCAAACGGGATTAGATCGCCGAAATAACAACACTTGGCCGGATAAAATCCGGGTCAATTCCGGCGCGTAGAACCGGCTGTCGTAGATCGTTGGATCGGTCTCTTTGTATGGCAGCTTTATGCTATAGTTATCTCATCTGAATAATTTCTTCGGAGATTTGTAGCAATTTTTCAATTCCTGCAAAAGTACATCACATGGTACACGGCCTGGTATAAAAATATATAGGAAAAGGCCTTCCTGAATATAAGCCCGTTATGCTTATGTCAGCTGAGATATAAATATTAGATAATGAAAGTAACTGAAAGCAGATTTCTTTCATTTCAAAACTGTGGTTTGACATGCACAAATTCTTGATTAATTATTGTCAGAAAACCAAAATTTGGTCGGAAAGCTAGCTATCAATCTAAAGTAATTATTTTCAGCTTCAGTGTCATGACAAAAGTTAGCAAGCTTTAAATTTGTTTGGGAAAATTTTCTCTGAAATTTACTTCTAAGGATATAAAGAGCTGCCATCACCCACAATTAAGTTAGATCGAACCACATCTTACATTCAAAAAATCTTCCCCAATCCAATGTGTACTCAACCTTAGCTATCAAAAAACCGCCGCTCTAAAAAAATCTCACCTCATCCGCTTCGGTATTCTTAATAACCGCTTCGGGTGTGTGCGCTTCGGCTGCTTCCGCCTTCTCTGCCCACTCTTTCAGGTAATCCACAATAACATGATGTCCGAAATTTTCCGCTTCATCAACCGGTAAATTACCCCAACGATCCTTTGGATTATGTGGCACTTGACAGTGCTCCAATAAAAATTTCACACAGTCCAAATGACCTTCGGAGGCGGCTAAATGTAGCGCCGTACGACCATCATAATCGGCCAATGTGATATCCATGCCGGAGAGTCGATGACGTCTCAATGCCGTCACATCACCGCTGGCCGCTGAGAAGAGCAAATTCACAATTGACAGTCCTTTGGTCTCGTAACGATGTTTACGTGGATCCTTCTTATCCGATGCATGTTTGAGATTATCATAGCGATGGAAATTGAAGGCGCTCACCAATTCTTCACAGAATTGCACACCACGCACACTATTTCCCAATTTGTCGAGCGGTGGTGACCATGTGAATATGCCCATCACATTTGGTATGACCAACATCATGCCACCGGAGACACCCGATTTGGCTGGTAAGCCAACTTTGAAGGCGAACTGACCGGAGTAGTCATAGGTGCCGCACGAATGCATTATGGAGAGTACATCACGTACGACTTCGGGACGCAATACCTTCTCTTCGGTAGTGGGACAAATGCCACCATTAGCCAGTGTTGCGGCAATTACGGACATGGCTTCACAGGTGGTCTCCATGGAGCAGCACTGTGGGGAAAGAAAATGAAAATTTTATTGAAATTAAATCAAATAAATGTGAAAAAGAGAAGAGTTCTAATTTTAAAATAGGTCGAAATGAAATCCCAAAAATTAATAGATTCCAATCCCGAAAGTTAGCATTTCGAGAACTGCAATCGTGAATGAATGAACCTATTAGATTTGCAAATTGGCTAAAAAATCAAACGAAAAATTAATAGATTTCAATCCCGAGTGCAATCCCGAAATATAAAATTTCGAAATTTCGGGATTAAAAAGCGCAATTAATAGCATTTATTTTTGAGTTAACGAATAAAAGTTTCAGTAGGAAATCCATATTTTTTTTCTGGAAACTCAGTCCCTAAACCACTAGCAAGTTTTTAACAACACCGACAATTCGGGATTCGAAATTTTTTTTTTTGCAATTTCAAGAATTTGATTTTTATGAAACTTTAAATACAAAATTTTCTTTTGGAACAATCCCGAAAATTCGGGATTCGAAATTTTTTTATTGCAATTTCAAGAATTTGATTTTTATGAAACTTTAAATACAAAATTTTCTTTTGGGAAATTCCAAAATATATTTCAGTTTAAACTATTAAAAAATTTAAATTTTGAATTGAAAATTTTTATTTATAAAAATAAGCTATAAAAAAGTTTTTGTAACCTAGAAATTCAATCCCGAAACCACTTCCAAATTTTCAACAATCCCGAAAATTCGGGATTCGAAATTTTTTTATTGCAATTTCAAGAATTGATTTTTATGAAAGAAATGAGCTTTAAACACAAAACTTTTAGAAATCTCGAAATATGTTTTATTTCAAAATAACAAAAATAAAAATAATTTTTGTATTAAAAACTTTTATAAAAACGTTTGTTTTTATAAATAAAAAAATTTAAACAAATAATTTTTTAAGCCTTAGAAACTCACTCCCGAAACCATTCTAAAATTTTTGACAATCCCGAAAGTTCAGGGTTCGACATTATTTTTTTTTTATTTTTAATTTTTTTGAAACTGATAAGCTTCGAACCCAAAAAAATTTTTTTCATTTTTTTCTAATACACGCACTCACCTGGAAGTAGAAGTCCATGACCTCTTTGAGATTCGTGCGCTTCGGATAGCATTTATTCTCCCGCATATAAAAGCCCAAAGCATAATTACGATCGGCTGCCTCGCGTTCCGACAGGAACACGGCATTATTAAAACCGATATTCTCCCCGCCCGACAGGCGTTTGAACCACTGCAGTGTGTAATCGAATTTCTCAGCTGCCGTCATATCGGGTTTGATCAAAGCCTGCAGCAGTGAACAGGTTAAAATGGCGCCCGCATTGATCATGGGGTTGTGTGGCTTGTCTAAAGTGAAATGAAATCGAAATGAATAACAAAAACAAATCAATAAAACAATTTGCATGAGAAATGTTCCAGTTTTTCTTTTTAGATCCCACTCTAGAGACTTCCGCACACTTACTGTTATGATCCAACACCAATTCGTTGAAATTGCGACCACTTGGCTCTTGGCCCACATACGAATGCACCACCTTCGGTCCCAGCTTCTCCAAGGCGATGGCGTACGTCAACGGTTTGCTGGAAACACAAATTGTGCAGTGATTTAAATCGATTGAAACAATTACGAACCTTTACATTCTCTCTCATCTTTTTTTTTTTTTTGAACAATGCAACAAACAAACACAAACAACACAAAATGAGTGAGGCAGCCTCGTGAAGGTAGAACATAGATATGTAGATGATTCACAATGGCGACGACAATAACATGGACTACCAGGCACACCGGCGGCCGCAGTGTAACTATGCAGGTGGTCATAAGAAATTTCAAGCCAACGTCCGTAGAGCCGCACACTCAACGCCGCGTGTAGTGGCTTTAGTCCACGATGGACACGCTGTCCAATAGACAACCATAATAAAAAGGCAATTTATCACTTGATTACTTGGAATACGCGCACAACAACACGCTCACGCCAAGCTGGGTAGCGAGCGCGCTCTGAAAGAAGTGTAATTAATTTGTGGAACATTTACAAATGAAGTGTATATTTATGAGTATGTACGTCGGCCGGTACTCGTAGGCAATTATGCATGTCGGTCAGCGGGCAGTGCATGCTTCGCGCATTATCATCCAACACCGGGAAGTACCGGTCACACTGCGCCAAACATGTTCCGTTGCGCGTCATTGTCCGCTTGCTGAAGCTGTACCGTAGCGTTGAACTGGTTATGTGTATGAAGCGCAATGAGCAACACGTGCTCACACACACACACACATACAGATGATTGTATGTATGTGATTGTTTTCGAAACACAATTTGTGATTTTTTTTCCCCCGTTCTCATTCATTTCTTTTGACAAATTTACCTGCAACTCTGCAAAGTGAACGGTATATCCACATCGCCAATGGAATAGCGTTGCCCGTCGATCGTACAGATGCTAACACCCCACGAATCGGAACTGTAGCGTGCCAATTGCGGTATGTAATTGGCGACGGCGCCATCGGCGTTCGTCTTACATTTCCAATAGATATCCTCGACATCCTTAACGAAGCTCACAAAATCGGGTATGATGAATTGTTGACGGAAAGCCTTAGCGATCAAGACGATGTTCTGTGCCACAACGCTGTAAAGAGAGAGAGAGAGAGAGAGAAATAGAAAAATAGAGTTGAGAGAATACAAAAAATCGTTTCTAAAATATTAAACAACGATAATTTCTCGAGAATGTAAGGGAGTGCTCATTAGTGCTCTGTATAGTTTTGAGATTGAAGCGAACCTCAAGCATCTCATATATGGTCTTCTCTGCTACAGAACCGTCGTGGTAGAGTGAGGCAGTGCGCTTGCACTACGAAAGATCAATAGAGTCACCACGCAGCGTTCGGTTCTGTCTCCATTACTCCGGGTCTTAGTGGTAAATGAGCTATTGAAAGGACTCGAGCAACGAGGCTGTCGGGTGATAGCCTACATAGTGGATGTTGCTCTAACGGTTAAAGTAAAATTCCTGGATGCCGTCTATGAGTTAACGAAAGGTTACCTTATTGTGGTAGCAAGACGATAGGATCGGTTTAGCTGTCAATTCGCATAAAACTGAATTGGCATTATTTACGAGTAGGCATGAAATCTTGCAGTTAGAACATAGCTATGCAGACACCCCTTCTTGCTCTCGACTTCACTCTGTTGTCTACTTGGGCCTCATTTCTTGCAAAAAGCTATCGTGGAATCGAATGTTGAGGAAAAGGTGAAGAAGGCACTGTTTGCTCTCTATTGCTGTAAAGCAGCTATCGGGATGTGGTGGGATCCATTACCAAAATATGTGCTTTGGCTTTAAGAAACCGTAGTTAAGCACAATGTATTGGCCTGGTGGACGGCACTTGACAAAGGCACACTCTCTAAACAGCTGGAAAAAACGTATAATCCGGGACTCCGGAAAGCCGGACATATTAAGTCTCAGAGTAGGGCATTCCGAAATCCTCTCGCAGTTCGATTGCCTCCTTGATAACTTCGAGCGGTATGTGGATAAGGTGAAATAGCTGCAGAAGACGCGCTTTTACCTTTTTCATGGATGGATCGAAACTCAAGTGGAAGGTTTGAGGGGGTCTTCTGCAGGGAGCACTCAATCAACTCTTGTTTAAAACTTCCAGACCATTGCAGTGTCTTCCAAGTACAAGTTACAGCTTGTACTTCAACGAGGTGTGACTTTTTTAAGGAGATATGCATCCACTCCGATAGCAGATCTGCTATACAAAGAGTTTTCGAAAAACTAGTAAGACGTCTTCGACTTTCAAAGGTTTGGCTTAAAAATTGTGCTTCTACGGGCAGGAAGAGAGCTGTTTAAGGTGTATGGAATCTTACAAAATTATGGAATGGTAATTTAAGGGCCCTTAAAGATACAAACTATTTCATTTTGGCTTGATAGGACTAGACATAAAAGCTCTCAACTGTACTTTGGACGCTTGTTTCTACAGTTCTCCAATAAAATCCAAAATACCGTACAGTGTGCTGTAAAATAAAATGCTTCTGAGCCAGAAAATCCCCCTTCAGCATGATACATATTATGGGAGGAAAAAGTTCGCAATTCCTTTCGGTTTTACAAATGCGTAGTATAGAACCTCACTAGAGAATTGTAGCGTACTCGGGGGAGCTATACAGATGATCTATGATATTAATGGAAGCAAGGAACATCTAATAGGCGATCTAAAGCGCTTGGGCAACATAATCGACGGTTTCGAGTCTCTAGAGGTTGTCAATGTATGAATACTCATAATCAGGCATTCAAAATAGAGCATTGGGAACCCTGGAGGATTTTAACGCTTCTGTTGGAGCTATGCAGGTGATTGGTGGTTAAATACAAATCCACAACGATTTCTATTTATTATATATATATATATATATTTTTTTTTTTTGGTTATTATTCAATATATTACTTACGCTTTAAATGTTTCACGATTCAAATTTTGCGTTTCCGCCGACGAACCAGTCTCATAATTCGACAATTTATGCACCTTCTTCAAATTCTCCATCAATTCGCGTATGCGTGGATCGCTGCGCCTAATGCCGGTCGTCTTGAGAGCGGCCAAAAATTTACCCATCGATATAAGACCGGTCTCCTCATTGTAGAACATATCGAAGAGCACATCTTCGGCATTGCGTTGCTCCTGCTCCCGATGACTGTTGTTATTCGACGAAAGCATTTGCAAAAACAAAATAGTAAAGAAATTAATTAGCGAATTGTTGGTAAGTGTTGCTTTCTTTTGCTAGTCTAATTTACGAGCATTAGTTAGTAGCAATGTGTCAAAAGTTAGCAGACTGAAAAGATGTTAGTTAGTACATGTGGGCATCTTAACATCAGCTGGCACATAAGTAGTATGTAACACATGCACACACATACAAATATATGTTGATACCAGCAAATGCTTACATGTTCGTATATATGAAGTAGATATGTACATGGATATAGACGAGTATATATGTTTATATATTGTTAGTATGTAACCACTCGTTTGTTACAATTTCTACGTATGTCTGTCTATATGTACTTAAGTGGAAAAGGTAGCAAAGATTTGGCCGAAAAAACCAACAACTACATACTTGACGTATTTATGCTTAAGTAACAGGTATATCAATCACGGAGCATAACATATGTTTGTATGTATGTATATCTGCATTTCTGCAGTGTCCATGCCATCGAGTATGCTTGAGTGGAGAGCAGAGATATGGACGCGTGCAGTTGAATGTGAAAGGAAATGTTTGCATACTTTTTAAGATTTAAGTGCATTTCGTAAACGTCACTTAAAAAACGGTTTTTTCTGCTATACATTATGAAGTATGCACTCATACACAGCAGGTATGCGTGCATATGAGTCTGCCTTATTTTAGACTAAGACTAATCTAGGTGAGAAATTTGTCAAGATTTTGCGCGCTTAACGTTAATGCATGTTGTTTTGAGATGATAATAGATGAGCATGACATGCTAATCAATGTTTTGTCTGCACTGAATTTTATGGAAATTTTTTATCGCATGCCTTCAATGAGACGAACAGACCTGTGTGGCCCAAATCTATATTTTTTGTAGATTAAAAGTTCACAATTCGTTTTTCAAATGAAAACTTGGAATTAGAAGTTGGAAATTTAATTTTGAATATCAAAATAATGATGAATGAAACATTTTTTGATTATAAAATTTTCGACCAAAAATTGGAAATATTATTTTGAATCCCAAAAACGGAAATAAATGTTAGAATTTTTTTTTTTTTTAAATATTGAAATTTTAATTTTGAATGCCAAAAGGATGGAGAATGAAATTTTTTTTTTTTTTAGATTTTGTACTCTAAATTACTAATCTTGAGTCCCAAAATCGGAATTATATGTTAGAAATTTAATTTTGAAACCCAAAATTTAGATAAAAAGTTCAAAATTAGCTTTTTAATATTAAATCAAGATGAATGAAATGTTTTACAATCAAAAAATATGTGATTAAGAAATGAAAAAATTATGTTGAATCCGAAAATCCTAATTAGAAGTTGAAGATTTATTTCTGAAATCCAAAAATCGGAATAGAAAGTTGGAAACCTAATTTTCAATCCAAAAATTTTAATTTAATTTAGAACATCCAAAATTGGCATTAAAAAATCGAATATTAGTTCTGAATGCCAAAATATTGATATATGAAATATTTTTAATTTTTGGATTGAATATTGAAATTATAATTTTTAATTCGAAAATCGAAGTTAATGTTGGAAATCTAATTTTGAATCTCAAAATCGAAATTAAAAGTTGGAAACTTTATTTTGATTAATTTGAACTAAAAAGAAATTTTTGGTGTAAAACTGCATATTTAATTTTGAATTCCAAAATCGGATTCATATATTGACAATTTTATTTTGAATGCCAAAATGATGATGAGATTTTAATGAAAAAATATTAGCTATGAAATTGGAAATTTAATTTGAAATCCGAAAATCGGAATTAAATGTTGAAAATTTAGTTTTCGAAAAGCCAAAATCCTAATTAACTGTTTTACATTTTTTTATTTGAGCTTAAATTTGTATCTGTTTCTGGTTTTGTTTTATAAAGCACTTCTCATCGTTTGATCGTTTAATCGTCTTTAATCAACAGCAGTCAATGAAGATTTCTTTTAATTCAGCGTGATCTTTTAAATCACCCTGTATACATTTTATTTCTGTTGATATGCTTTTGCATCTGATACGGCAATGAATAAGCTTTATTTTTAATAATTTAATATTTCATAATAATTTACACAAAAAAAGGAAAACAAATTTAAATTTTGAAAATATTTTTTTTTTTTTTTAAATTTGGAAAATAATTTTTAAGTGTTTATTTGTCTAAACCCTTACCCATCTGTTGGATCGTTTTCATCGGAGTCTGAACCGCCCATGTAAGCGTTAGAACCTGCAGTGCTAATCATAGAATTTCTTTGAATATATGTAGTGTATATTGTTACAACAACAAAACGAAATTGTTTAAGCAAAACAACGCGTTGAAGAAAGCAGAAAACTAAGCTTTCGAAGCTAATACGAAACCAAATTGATTACGAACTTAAAATGTATTATCTTGATAAAAAGCAGCGGACAGACTTTGAATACGAAAAAGTTGAAAAACAAGTATTTGAAACTCAACACGGGTCAAAACACACGCAATAACATATACAAATTACAAAAATAACGGTTTATTAAATACTAAAAATGTTTCAAAACTACACAATGGAAAAAATGCCGCTCACAGGAGCAATTACTACAATCAATGCAACAGCAATAACAACAACAAGAGATAAAGTATTTCAATATAACGGAATGGTAAACAAAATTACTTAATTCTTGGCGCAGATAATGCTTTAATAATGAATTCAATGAAATGTTATTATTATAAATAACGGTGTTTGTAGAAATGACTAAAGTTTTGCTAAGAAGAAAACGCACTACATTTATTTGTAAAGAGTAAAAAAACTAAAATTTTAAATATTTTTGCGTGTTTTTTTTTGTTTTTTTTTTTTTTTTGGAATGGAATTACTCACGGTCGCATCGATAAAAAGCGCTTCTGTAGGCTACACCAAAACGAATTCGTTGTTGTTGGCAAAAAAACAGAAAACAAAAAGACATTGTACATACAAGTAACGGTATTTAAAAGACACTTGAAATCAAAGAATCTAAACAAATTAATGCAATTAATTTGAATATTACTTGTTTTCAAATGTGTTGGTCTGTCTGGTATTGTATGTACATATGTATGTACATCAAATATACTTAAAAACATAACACTTTTCATATATATGCATATATATAAATATGTATGTGCTGAATTTGATAGACATTAAATTCGGCAAAAAAAAAAAGAATAGCTTGACAACAATTAACCCATCAAGCAGAGAATTTTATTTTTTGTTTTTGGTAAACACTTACTTGTGAACACTTATTCACGCACATATGCATACATATGTTGTCATATACAATCGGAGACGGCGCGTGCCAAACGATGCCGCTTGACACTGCGCGATAGTCGTACGAAGCGATAAGTTGTCTGAGGACACTGTGCGACAGATAAAAGGTGAAGACAAAAATTTAATATTGCCAAGTGATGACATAATAAATAAGAAAAAGGTTAAATTCGCTTACAATGAAGCTAGAGTACCCTTTACATATTTGTACAGACGTTTCCATATTAAAACTTGAATTGAACTTGGATCGCTCAGCTTGTATGGCAGCTATATGCTATAGTGGATCGATCTAAAAGTTTTCTTCAGATATTGTAGTGTTCCGTTAGACAATGAGCTGTATTTAATTTTGTGCAGAAATCTTTTAAAATAAAAAAGTTTTTCATACATAGATTGGGCTTTGGTCGCTGAGTTTGTATGGTAGATATATGCTATAGACGTCTGACCTAAAAGTTTTTTTCAGTTATTGTAAGCGTTTTAGTGCCTAATTTCTTAAAGAAATCTTGTCAAATAAAAGAAATTTTCATACAAAGACTCGGTTTTCAGTTCAGTTTGTATGGCAGCTATATGATATAGTAGCCCGATCTAAAAGTTTTTTTAAGTTATTGTAGCGTTTGTTTGGAAAATGTGATGTACTAAATTTTGTGAAGAAATGTTGCCAAATAAAAAAGTTTTTCATACAAAAGCTGTGTGTTGAGTGTTCAATTTGTATGGCAGCTATATGATATAGTAGCCCGATCTAAAAGTTTTTTTCAGTTATTGTAGCGCTTGTTTGGAAAATGTAATGTACGTAATTTTGTGAAGAAACTGAGAAAACTGAACTAGAATTGAGGGACTAATTCACGTATATACTTACAGACGGACGGACAGACAAACATCGCTACATCGACTTCAGCTCAAAAAATTTTTCTTTTCGAACAGCTATATTTTGTAAACAGTTTTGTTCTCCTTACTGTAATAATTTCTTATATTTTTAAGTATTTAAAATTGCAAACAGGTGGCAATCCTCCTCAAATTTATTTTCGAAACTCAAAGACCATTTAAAATTGAACATACTAAATAGTCCTGTCAAGGCATTGTTACCGTTATTCTACACAGTAATGGCAACACTAAACAGTTATGCGAATTATTGCAGTAAAATGATGATCTAGGCTGATGACCATGCTAATAAGTCCCATTCATTGTATCTTCGTTATGTGTTAACATTGACCAAAATAGAATAATTCTTGGTTTTCTGTGGTTGGTCACTTGTCACGTTGCATTTACCTTATAATCGCCGATATGGTGCGTATAATGGTGCCACGCCTACGATTAAGCGCCACACCTTCTATAATTTCCTCAATTATTTGCGTGGTCTCTTGCAGTTCCTTTGCTTCTTCCACTTGTTTCTCCAATTGATTTTTCGCTTCAGTCTCAGCGCATGTTTCATTAGTTGTTGTTAAAATGTCGATTATCGACTCTTCGCCAACATCGCTCACTTTATCAATCACAATCATAATACCCGCATCACTCTCACTGTCACTCTTCGCATAAGCTTCCTCATCAATTGCGCTTAAATTCAACGTATCCTTCTCCTTAAAACCAACACCACCAAAGCTATAATTCTCAACTGCACTGCTCTGGATCTCCATGGCGTATGCGTGACTTTTTATTTACTTAAATAACTTGCTGTCAAAAACTCTTGTTAAAATGCAATTAATTTACGTTACTCTCAAAATCTAATTAACGCTGAGCACTTTTAATCGTATTTAGATTTGCTATAATTGGTTAAATCACCAAATGTTACGCTGTCATGAATTTGCACTTGTGCACAGTCGGCTGGAACACGCGCTAATGACTTTCAAGTCCACATTGTGCGCCAATTATATAGGCGCTTCATGATCGGCACAACAAACCGCAGCACACGTGCCCCCACCCAGCCCTCGATAAGCCAATAAACCGTGGTGTAAAGTGAGCTCAGCCCTCAACCCCGCAAGCGTGAGACTCGTGCGCGCCGCTCACCTGCGCAGCCAATACCACACGCCCCTCCTAGCACTCCCCTTTTCATCGGCTTCATCGGCGTTTTTGTATCAAATTAACAGCACTTTTATTACTGTTAAAATTTTAATAAATATTTATTAGCCTTTGTCCAGCGGTGTTTGTTTGCGCGCGGCGAAGGGTGATAATTAGCGCATCTTGGTGAAGTTATTAGGAAATACATAGCTAGTGAAATCCATATTAACTGGCAGCTTCCTCGGCTTTTTTTGGCCACTGAAAATCTACATAATATTTGCTTAAATATTTAGTGTTTTAGTACTTAAAGTACTTAAGTGCTTGCTTCATTTGCAAAAAATCTTTGCTTGTGAAATGTATATACATTAGGGTGGGTAAAAAAAAAAATATATTTATTTTCGCTTCGTACTACGAAAAATTGCTTGATAGACACATATTAGAAAGGCACTCTAAGCAACTGGAGTGTTCTCTGTTTAACGGTTTTCCATTTTTTCCTTATTACCGCTTTGAAAAATGCATATTTCGGATCTAACTCTTTCAAAAAAAATTTTTTTTTTTAAATTTCGTTGTTTTGACATTGTTGGAAATTGTATGCTCTACAAACTAATCTCATATGATTTTATTGTAAACCCAACCGTTGAAAAGATATGAACGGTTGAAGAAGAAGTAGATTCGTATTTTCGGCCCATCCTAAAGTACGCTTATAGAGATATAGTTACATATTAAAACCGTTTTAGTTTTTTGATCTATTGTTAGACATTATGGCAAGGCTGCAAACACCTTTTACGCAGAATATATTATTTTAGTAAAATCACATATCATATTTATTTAAATAGTTTAAATATAACCATCGCTTGCAGTATTTATTCTTTGCACAATGAAAATGTTTAAAACGAGTATTGAGAGCAATAAAATGTTATTTTTAGATTTCGCAATAAAAGACTTGTCTAGCGCCATACTAATTTAAAGCAGCTGACTTGGCTGAGATTTTCAAGAAAATCGCACATGTTTCTTTCGAGTCAACGAGCCGAAAGACGACATATTCTTCTTTCTTTACTTTTCGCTGTTTGACACCAATTTGAAATTCTAAGTGTAGCCAGGTCTTTCCTGATTTTTCCCGCAGAGTGGATATCTTCCTCTTCCTCTGCTTCCCCCGGCGAGTTCTGCGTCGAATACTCTCAGAACTGTAGTGTTTTCATCCATACAAACGACATGATCTAGCCAGCGTAGCCGTTGTTTCTTAATTCGCTGAACTTTGATAATGTCGTTGTATATCTCGAAAAGATCATTGTTCCTTATTCTTCGTTACCAATGCGCAATGGACCATAAATCTTCCGCCGAACCTTTCTCTATTTATCTACGACTTCGAAGCTATAACTCTCAACAGAGACGTGTTAGCCAAGGCACGAGTGTGTTTGTTTGATGACAGGAGATATTTCATCTTAGATAGATAGGTGATTAATAATGAGGTGTTGCACTACGACCCAGGGTCTATTGTGCCCTCTCCTATATCACATATGGTCAACAAGGTTCAGCATTAATTGCAGGAGCCTGCTGTGCGCTCCTGAGGTGATGTGATTCATGTCCATGTAGATAGAACCTAGGGTCTTAAGCCTGCTTCTTCAAAGTGCTGCATAATCCAGAATCAGGTGTACTGAGGTTTCCTGTTCCAAGTCGTAGAATCGCCATTTTGCGCAAGAGACTATGTCCATGTTTTCCAAGTACTTCCCTGTGCAGAACGCAACGAGAAGGCGGAATTTGTCATGTGCGAGGTTAATTATTTCCTTAAACTTTGAGAGGTTGTACCTTCTCAGAAGCAGCTTGGCATGGTCCGCTGCCTGCTGCCTATGCTGCTCTCTCTCCACTCTCTCCTCCGTGCAGAGCAGCTCCTTAAGAGTATGGGATACCACTGCGCTACATGGTTCTGGTCTCGTCACCTTGACCGACACCGCAGAGCGGCCAAGTTCTTCGGCTAGCTCATTTCCGGCTACCCCTTTCTGCGCTAGCACCCAGCTTAGGTATGTAAGGTGGCCTTCCTATGCATGCCTCTACTAAAAGCGATTTAAGATCATATGCTGAGATCGCTACTGGTGCCGCCTGACTGTTGCGATACGCTGGTTGTGATAGTTGCGATGGAGATTGAGTTCTGCGCACTGACTTATAGTAAAAGCTTCTGCTTGAAAAATGCTTGGAAAACATACCATTAGTACAGATAGCTTGGTATGCGGTCCCGCAATGCCTGCTACTCTGCCTTTCGGTGTTTTCTAGCTGTCAGTGTACCACTGGATAGCACTGTCTCTCAGCAATTTTTCATCTGGCCCTCGTTCACTGTCAGACCCATTTACTTCACTTACTTATCCAGTCTGAAGAAAGCAGAACGAACTAACAACATCAGTCATGTTATTAGTAACCTAACATCTTCTTACATATGGCCTCCAGCTGAAGCTTGCAGCTTCCTGCGTCTATCATCTGTTTTTCATGACTATTACGGCTATCATATTTATACTCTCGCAACAAAGTTGCTAAAGAGAGTATTATAGTTTTGTTCACATAACGGTTGGTTGTAAGTCCCAAAACTAAAAGAGTCAGATATAGGGTTATATATACCAAAGTGATCAGAG